GAACGTCTGCCGCCAACTGCTCCCCGGCGGGGGCGTCCAATACCGCAGCGCTGGTCGCTGACCCGCAGCAGGAGGGTTCGAGACCAGTCGCCGAACAACAACCCCAACGCCGCGATTATTTTTTCACAACGTCAGAGGTCTGGACCCCTCCCCCAGGTCCCGCTTTTCATCCCGAGTCGGATTTTGACGGTCCATGGGGCCCGGTGAGGGCCCCCCAGGGAGCCAAAACAAAGGACACAAACCGCCCGTCGTGATTTTTGTCGCAGCGCGCGAGGGGGTCCGGGAACAAGGACAGCCCTGGCGATTCGTCAGGGCTGCACTGCACCCCTGTCACAGGATCTGGCCCCGTCCCGCCTATCGCTGGACATGCGGAGAGCTCGCCATCGCTCGGACGTCCATTCCTCGTGCCTTTTTTTGGTTTCGTGCGTGCATGTTGCTCGCAAGATGGCACCAAATGCTCCTCGATGGTCCCCGCCGAAACAAATCCGGAGATCCGATGTAGCTCAACAGAAAGCAACATCGCAAAACATCACGACCGGACCCCCAGACCAAATTTTTGTGCGCCACTTTTTGAGCCGGATCGGCCCGTGAGGGCCCTGGGGCCCGAAATGGAGCGACACCGCCCATCTCGAACAAAAATGAGCCGCCAGGGTGTCAGGGGCCCTCGCCGAGAGCAGCATGGCACAGTGGCCATCGCTCGGACGTCCATTCCCCGTGTTTTTTGTCGGTTTCGTGCGTGATTTTTGTTGTTTTTTTTTCGCCAAATGATCCAGGATGCTCCTCGATGGTCCTCGCCGAAGGAAAAATGCACACGTCCGAGCGATGCCAAGACATGGCACACGCCCGAGCGATTCCGAAATCTGGCCCCCGGCCCGACTCTCCCGCCACAGGCGCGCCGTGGGCCTCCGGCCCGACGTAGGCCTTGCCGGAGACCACCTCCGGCGAGGCGTAGTTCGGCGACCCGCAGGACGTCTTCAGGAACTCGCCGTCCCGCATCATGTTGGACAAGCCTTCCGGCCCCCTACCGATTTGGACGCCCGAGATGGGTACGGAAAGAATGGGTACAATGCCCAACAGAAGTTCCTGTTCATTCTGAACAGGACTCGCTGTCGGTGTCGCCGCGGCCTGTGTCCATTCGAGACAGAAGGCCGCCCGCCCAACAGCGGCCGCTGTTGGTTTGGAACAACATTTGTTGTTGGGCATAGTACCCATTTTTTTCGTACCCATTTCGGGCGTCCAAAACCGAGACCTCCGAAGATATGATGTGTGCAAGCCGGCGGCTTTCCACCGAGTTCGGCCCCCAGGGCCCGTGATCGGGCCGACGGCCATCAGATCCGCGACGAGAAACTTGTAGATGCCATGCCAATGGACATCCTAACAATCCTATCATTGAAATAAAACGTTGTTTTTATTCAAACAATGCTGTTTCATGTTATAACCATGTTTCTACATGGTTAAGATCTGCTTCAAACAATTTTTTGACATCTGGAAACTAATTAGCCACGCTTCCTCTCCATTGACCGTCGTCCACAACGGAAAACAGCCCCAGAGAAGGGGTCGGGACCATTGCAATGGGGCCGCGGATTGAACAAATCACATCGGAGGATACCTGCCCTTCTGGCCCCCTACCTACAGTTCTCTGCAAACCCGCGTGCGCGGAGCCTCGTGAGAGATGCACGCGCCACAGCACTTCCGCGAGACTGCAGTGCCCCAACAAACTGAGAGGAGGACGAGGAGAAGGAGGAGAAGGAGGACGAGGAGAAGGAGGAGAGGAGGAAGAGGAGGAGGAGGAGGAGGAGGACGAGGAGGAGAAGGGGGAGGGGCAGGAGGATGGGGAGGGACAGGAGGAGAGGAATGGAGGGAGGAGAGGAACGAGGAGGGCAACTGTCACCTGCAGGCGGACAGGAATGCAAGCATGCCCTTCTCTTCAACTCCACCTCTTCAAGATCCCCCTTGTATCGGTAAACACGCTTGACTCTCCTGCTGGCTGAAAATTGTTAACTTTGGCTATGTGCTTATTATCCTGCCCGTTTTCGTCAGAGCCGTCCAACTCATCGCCCTTCCGCTCCTGGCCCGCCGCCAACTCGTCACTCGCATCCATCTCCTGCTCTCTGGTACGCATTCAACAGGATATGCCCGCAACGGCTTCATCGTAAGCCCAGAAGGCAGCGCTGTAAAAAGAGGTATGTGGTGGCCTACAGTTGCGCGCCAGCGCCAAGAGAGAAAGCGAAGAAGCGCTGGAACGACACAAGCAGGAGGCAAGGAAAAGACTGTTCGAACCGACGAGGCGGGTGCACAGATCGATCACGTGAGCTGCCACAACCTGGCGCACATCCCCGCCCGCCAAAATCTGCAATCTTGACGTGAAGATTCGAGTCGAGAAGCAAGTTCTCCGGCTTCAAGTCTCGATGTGTCACCATGCACTGGTGGCAATACTCCACGCCAGAGAGGATCTGCTGGAAGAATCGTCTCGCTTCCTCCTCGGGAAAGAACACAAAATCCTGACTCCGCTTATCAGATCAAGGAACCACCATTACCGCTAAGCACCGCGGATAACTGCAATGGTGTCCAATTCTTGCGGTAATCTGCCAGAGGGAAGACTGGAATGTCTGGGGGGCTGGGTTGAAAATCGTTTATATGTCCGTGGGCATCCTCTCTGACCCTCAGCTTGTGCACGATGTGATCAAACAACTCGCCTCCCGGGACGTACTCCATGACCATGAAGATATCGCTCGGGGTGTCAATAAGCTCGTATAGCCTCGCGTGCAGACCCAATGTTCCAACAAAGCGCAAACTGCTACACTCTGTGGGAACAGGGCGGGCGAGCGCGCTGCCAAAAACTTGGCAGTGCCAAGCTACGCCAACAATGTCATGGTCAATCGAACTGCCTAGGCCAGTTGCCAGGAGCGGGGAGGAGCAACGCGGATCCGAGCAAACGACCCTAGAACCCTAGAACCGTATAGAACTCTCCAGGCCCACGTGAGTGCTCCTAGAATCCCCCCCTCCCCCCTCCTCCCTCCTCCTCCCTCCCATTCCTTCTCCTCCCTCCTCCCTCCTCCTCCCTCCCCTTCCTTCTCCTCCCTCCTCCCTCCTCCTCCTCCTCCTCCTCCTCCTCCTCCTCCTCCTCCTCCTCCTCCTCCTCGTCCGCCCTCCTCCTCCTCCTCCTCCTCATCCTCCTCATCCTCCTCCTCCTCTCTCCTCCTCCTCCATCATCATCATCATCATCATCATCATCATCATCATCATCATCATCAGCATCATCATCACCATCACCATCACCATCATCATCATCATCATCATCATCATCATCATCAGCATCATCATCATCATCATCATCATCAGCATCATCATCCTCCTCCTCCTCCTCCTCATCATCATCAGCATCATCATCATGACCATCATCATCACCAGCATCATCATCAGCAGCATCATCAACAATCAACATCATCATAATCACCATCATCATCATCAGCATCATCAACATCATCATCATCATGATCACCATCATCATCATCATCACCATCGTCAGCATCATCGTCAGCATCATCATCACCATCATCATCACCATCATCATCACCATCATCATCATCATAATCATCATCATCGTCAACACCATCATCGTCAGCATCATCATCATCATCATCATCATCATCATCGTCATCGTCATCATCATCATCATCATCATCATCATCATCATCATCATCATCATCATCATCCGGTTTTGGCAACGGCCATTCCTCAGGAAACGCTCCATCTGCCCCACATTGCTGTTGCGATGGCAGCTCGCCATGGTGCTGCTTCGGTGTCGGCGGCGACGGAGGAGGATCAGACAGGAGCAACAGGGAAAGGAAACAGAGGAATGGCTCGACCAACGCGACAACGACGACGACGACGACGTCATGGACGATGGCCTGGCTGCCGACGACGACGGCCGTGTCAAGGACTGGGATCGGTGGCGCGCCCCACGACTCGTTCGCGCGTCTGGTTACGACCCTCCGCCTCCCCAGAGAATCGAACCCTCTACACCGACGCTTGCTTCATCGAGCCCTGAATTTAGAATCTGCACTGGAGAGCGGATCCTGATGTATACGGGACCCAGGTGTATAAATGTTTCGTTGTTTCCTCGGAACATCGGGGGAACAAATGTACACCACACCACCCCAGCGTCGCCCTCGACCCTCAAGAAGTCCTGGGATTGAAAAGAAGCCCGCCGCTAGTAATGTATATTTTCCAGTGTCCGACTCACCCCCAGCCTGAGCGTGCCGATGCGGCAGCACGGGCAGCCGGTTCTGAGGGGTAAGCGACAGCACCACCTAGACCGTCAAATCCACGATACAATGAACCCGTATGATAAGAACGCAAGATGAGGATGCAAGGGCCTTCCGTCGGCACTTTGCGAGCGGGGTGCGGCCAGCGAAAACGGCCAAGGATGGGCCGAAGGGGAAGGATTCAAGGGCACCCTTGGAACATTGCTCATCCTTACTTTGCGGATCGACTGTATCTCACCCGTTTTAGGACGACCGCGAGAAGCGGAGCGACCCGCTCCTTGTCGCAAGCGTGCTTGTGAACGCCAACATTACATCTTGGACCAATGGCCAGATTTTAGTGAGCGCACGGCACCACTAGTTATCGACGGATCTCGCCACGATCGATTCGGCTATAGAGCAAGCTAACACATGGGTATCACAACTATGTAAACGATTATATGTCTACTGAGGCCGGGGGTTTTCTGCTGATGTAACTGTTTTCTCTCTCTCTCTCTCTCTCTGCACGGGTTGTCAAATCTAGGCGTCCCCATGTTCACCGTGTGTATACATGCTGGTGCGTCTTCAAGACCCCGGGATTACACTCAGGCCTTGGTCTGGATCACCAATCTTTTGAAAGCCCTTGGCACCTATTTCATTATTGGCGGGGACTGGCAGGTGTCTCCTCACGAACTTTTCGACACTGGATGACCAGACCTCCTGCCTTCATCTGCGATTGTACCGTCTTCGATGACGTCTGTCAGTGTCGATACCGGATATTGCATGAACTATGTTGCTGGTGAGTAATGTAGCAATAGAAAAAGAATCAGCTGTAAGTTCGAAAAATTAAGAGAACGCGCTCCCTTCCCGTCGCCCCACCCCGCCCGGGTGTGACCCTGAGCCTCGGGAAAATCATTGGGATAATTTCCCCACCGTAACAGCCTGGCCTTGAAACAGCGACCGTGAGGCTGTTACAGTCGTCAACAAGCGAACTACGGTGAAATTCCAAACTGATCCAGCGTTAGCTACTAGATGGGAGAAACCGTATTCCACGTTTCTCTGCTACCTGCGCCCTCAACATGTCAAGGGCTCTCTCCCAACTACCTCATTCCATGGGCATGTTTCGTGGGGCATCCTGAAACCCGACCGGGAGGCTGGACAAGAATGCGTTGTCTCCGCGTGCCGAACACGTCAGCATTCCCGCTGAATGGCCCTGGTGGGGAGAACGAGCTGTCGTACTCCCCGTCGTCACGATTGAACAATTCGCAGTGCTGGCTGAGAAACTAGAACAGATGGCCATCTGGTGTGAACGGACAATATGGGACATCGAAGGTGCCAAAAACAACGGGCGGTGTCTTTGGCACCCTCCCTGCGCACGTATGTGCAAAAAACATCACAAGAAATCTTCTCGCACTCCTCCACAAAAGGTGTCCTCGAACATTCCGCCAAACAGGGAAAATCTTCTGTACTCCGCCACAAGAGGAATCCTTTTGCACTCCGCCACACAAGGGATTCTGATTGTACTCTACACAAAGGGAACTCTTTTGTATTCCGCCACAAAGGAAATCCCACCAGCCCTCTGGACGTCAGTGGTTTAGGGCGTTTCCTCTTCCCCTCCCTCTTCCCTCTTCCCCTTCGGGGAAGAGTTTATCACCGTTCCCTATTAATAAATACCGCCTCCCCCAGGCGACTGGGGGCCAACCCGAGTCCATGACGACACCCCCCCACCATTCCTTGCAAAAAACAATGCAAACACACACTCTGCCTCCAAATTCGGAACATGCGCAGCCAACCGACACGCCCCCCCCCCCCACCATCCAGAAAAACGTGTGTTCACCGAGGATTTAATAATTCCACACTAATGTATTCAATACCTGTGAAAGACACGGCTTCTTCAAACTACATAAGAAAACCGTGTGTTCTCACAATGGTTTAGTAAATTTTGACAGGAAACCGAATGCGTTCACAAAGACCTTATACATTTATGTGACAGTATTTTGAACCCTGTGACTACACAGTGCTGTATTTCATTGTCTAATAAGAATGGTGTTGTCCACCGCGTGTTGCCCATATGTTTGCTTCCTTGCTTGAATATATATATATATATATATATATATATATATATATATATAGCGTGGTGGGACAGTGCTGCATATCTCTGAGATCCCCCCTGTGCCTGGCAATGGGACAATGATTTAATAAATCTATGAATCCCTGTAAACTCCCTGGCGGGACTACTGGTTTTATTGGAAAGTCTCTCGGTCTCTGCGAAAGCACAATGTTTCCAGCATCGTTGACAATTTCAAAAAGAAGCCCCTTTGCAGTGGAACGCAAAGGGATTTATTTCGAGGCGGAGTGCACATGGATTCCTCTGCGGCGGAATACAAAAAGATCTCGGCCCTTGCTGCCGCAGGGGTCGAACGTGGTTCTTGCGAGCAGGAATTTAATGTACGTGGTACATGTTATGCTGACGTTCTGTTGCGGTTGCTCCCCGGAGACTTTCGCGGGCTCTCCGCTTTTTTCAGTCCATTGTCAAACTATGGCCTTTCGCGTTATCAAATACACAGCTTGGCCCCTCCTGCCGCAAAGGTCAAACGTGGCTCTTGCGAGCGAGAAGTTGATTGGCGTAGTGCATATTATGTTGACTTCCTGCACCTACTACAGAGCCTGTGAGCAAAAGTGCATTATCTTATACGCACCGCAATACCTGCACTTATCACAGATCCTATGAGCACCGCGGAGACGGCGGAGGGGCGCAAAGCGCGGAAATCTTCATGTTCAAAAGGAAACGTCATGCCATGTTCATCGCGTTGCTTCTGTGAACAAGCGATTTCACTACAGAGAAGCTAAGCACGCGGTAGCTAGCAACTACCTCGGGAAAGCTAGCGAGCAGCCAGCTTCGGACGAAAACGAGGAGGAGAGGGAGGAGAAACAACACTTGACGGCGAGCAGCCATCTTGATATTCAATACTGGTGCATGCCGATCTCCATTCGTCTAGCCGGCCCCCGTCTGGAGTGAGGAGAACAACCGAAGTGCTTTCGGGTACTTCAGAGGCAGCATTAACATTTCCAACATTGAAGTTACTACGCATTGCACCCCATCCAAACGAATTCCATTGGCCGCCCATTCTCCCTTCAACCTCGGAGCGCATCGCAGCTCTTCAATCAAACTTGAATATGTCAGGGCGGCACACTTCATACAGCAACGCCTGTTTTTGTATGTTGGAAACTCTAGGCGCCGGAAAAACCATTCGAACCAGTAGTAGCACAACTCTTGAATTCATTTCTGAATAGCTGAAAAGGTGTTCCACCAATCTGAGCAGTTGACCTGACCATACCCCTCCAGGGGGAGGACACCATGGGCAAGGGGGCGTAGCAGTTTTTGCACCAACGGAGGTGCTTGAGACTGCGTTTGCACCCACAGGCGGGGCAGCAGACCTTGGATGCTGGAGTCGAGAGCGATGATGAATTCTGCTGCCCTCATTGCCATGCCCAAGACTGGTATGCCCAGCCGCGTGAAGCAAGAGAAGAAGCAGGCGACATCGCACACGAGTGCAGAGAGATAACGTAATGGTGTGAGGGAAGATGGGGCAAGCCCCAACACAAATATCAGAAAACCTCGGACGGAACGAATGAAGCAGAAATCCCAAATGCCAACAACTCTAAGTCATTGGGAACACCGCTACGGACTTGAGCCAAAATGGTTACGGGCACCATCATTATCATCGTCACCAACACCATCATCACCATCATCATGAGCATCAATAGCATCATCAACACCAACATCAACATTAAAATCAACCGCATTATCAGCATCATCATCACCATCATCATGATCACCATCATTACCATTATCATCGTTGTCGTCATCATCGTCGTCATCACCAGCATCATCATCATCGCCGGCAACCCAGGACGGCCTCAGAGGCCTCGCGTAGGTGCCAATGGGGGGAACCAGGCACCCCTGCGAGAAGGGCGACGTCATGCGCCACCATTCGAAATGCGCCCCACTTGCCTCGCTTGCCCCACTAGCCGCGCTCGCCCGCACGGGCTCGAGCTTTGTTGTAGCTTTGTCGGAGCGTTAGTGTAGTTTTGTTTGAGCTTGTTTGAGCTATGTTGGGGCTTTGTTGGAGCTCTGTTTGACATTTGTTTGGGTATGTGTTTGCTCTTTGTTTGAGCATTGGCTGAGCTTTGTTGGAGCTTTGTCCTCCCCCCCACCCAGTCCCAATCGGGGGCGGGGTCCCCACGGTTCGAACCCAGGGGGGGGGTCTGCACTTCCCCCCCGCCCCCCCTTATTCGGAGAGGGGGAAATTGTTCGCCCCCCTGGTTCGCAGCATTGTAACCGTAGAAAGATCTCTTTCGAATGAGGGGAGGTGGGAGGAAAGAGGGAGGAGACAGAGGATGAGGATGGGGGTGAGGATAAGGATGAGGATGCTGGCGAGGATGAGGATGATGGTGATTTGGTGGTGATGATGTTGATGATGGTGGTGATGATGATGATGATGATGATGGTGATGATGATGATGACGACGAGGAGGATGAGGATAAGGATGAGGATGACGATGATAACGAGGATGATAATGATGATGGTGATGATGATAATGATAATGGTGATGATGAGGATGTTGATGTTGATGATGAAGCTGATCTTGATGAGGATGCTGATGCTGATGCTGAGAATGATGGCGCTGATGAAGATGAAGATGATGCTCTCTCAGCGCTTGCTTACAGAGTCCTTGAAGTATGATGCTTCATCCCAATATTCTCCAGTATCTTCTGTGCGGGAAGGGGGAAGGAGGAAGAGGAGGAACAGGCAGGAGGGAGGATGGAGGGAAGGATGAGCGTCGTTGGGTTCGAGGGGGGGTCGGTAAGAGTCTTGGGGGGTGGCGTCAGATCCACAGCATCCTCCTCCCCCATCCTCCTCCTCACCCTTGCCAAGAAGCGTCCGACCCAGGAGCTGGCCATGATTGGCCGTTATGCCAGAGAGTGTCTGTTGCTGCGCCGCGAGGGGGGCCTGATGACGTGCGGGTGCTTCAGGAACTGCAGGATGTTGATCTCCCGACGGACCTTCTCGTGCATGTTCATGTCCTTCATCTTCTTCTTGTTGATGATCTTGATGGCCACCTTCTGGTCCGTGAGCGTGTGGTCTGCCATCTTCACCTTGCCGAAGGTGCCCACGCCCAACGTCTGCCCCACCTTATAGTGCCCGATGGCCGGCGGCGAGCAGGAGGGGCGGCCACGGCGAGGAGCCCGCCCCGCCGAAAAGGCGCGGGCCACGGGCTGGCGCCGAGCAGAGGCGCCGCGCTCCCCGAAGGCCCGCACTCTGCGCTCGGCACGGCCATCGTGCCGCGGCAGGTCCGTGTCGTGACGGCTTCGTATCGGGTCGCGCCTGCCCTCCCACACAGGCGGGTTTTAAACGACAAACAACAAATGCACCAAACATGCCGCCAAGTAGTCAAACATCCTCAAAAAATCGTCTCCGGATGTTTGGGCTATGTTTGAATAGTCCTCCTGTAGAGGGACACGCCTCACTGAAGCTTTGCAGGAAGAACGGAAGGCGACACCAGCACCACCAGGGCGAGGAGATGCGAGGGGCAGGGGGGGGGAGCTCCTTGGCGGTGTGGTCCCCCCCCTCGCTCCAGACATCCCCAGCCTCCAGCTCGGGAGGGCATCGTGGACCTCCTCGCTGGAGGTGGCCCCCTCTGGTGGTGTTGGTGTCACTTCTCCTCCCTCCGACTAGCACCGCATGGATCGTTCAACCCTGAACGATCGGAGCTCTCCGACGGCGCATATCGTTCAGGCCACTGGCGGCGCTTTTTTGGGGTTGGGAGGGTTTGTTTTCCCCACGTGCTTAGTGGGGTTATGGTGTTCTTCCTTCCCGCGTCTCACCCGCGTCTCCTCACCCCTCCTCCTCCTTCCCCTTCTCACACAGCACAGGGCAGCGCAGCGCAGCACAGCACAGCAGAGCACAGCTCATCACAGCACAGCACAGCACAGCACTGGTCAGCACAGCACAGCTCAGAACAGCACAGCACAGCACAGACCAGCTCAGCAAAGCACAGCACAGAACAGCACAGTTCAGCACAGCGCAGCTCAGCACAGCACAGCACTGCACAGCACACACGCACACAAGTACACAAACACACAACCACATGACACGCACACCACGCAACACATGGTCGGAAACAGTGGCAGGCGTGGCAGTTTCACGACACCATAGGGGGTGCGCAGGGGGTGGTCCCTCAGCGCGACCTCTATGCGTGCCAGGGTCGGAAAGCGTGGCGGGCGTTGTATTTTCTCTACGCCAGGGGGGGTACGCAGAGAGTGGTCCCTCAGCGCGGCAGCTATGCGTGCCAGGGTCGGAAAGCGTGGCAGGCGTGGCACTCTGTCGCCACCAGGGGGGTGCGCGGGGGGTGGTCCCTCAGCGCGGCCTCTATGCGTGGCAGGGGCAGACAGCGTGGCAGGCGTGGCACTTTCTCGGCACCAGAGGTGGAGCACAGGGGGTGGTCCCTCAGCGCGGCCCCTGTGCGTGCCAGGGTCGGACAGCGTGGCAGGCGTGGGACTTTGTCGTCACCAGAGGGGGTGCGCGGGGGGTGGTCCCTCAGCGCGGCCTCTGTGCGTGCCAGGGTCGGACAGCGTGGCAGGCGTTGCACGTTCTCGACACCAGAGGGGTGCGCAGGGTGTGGTCCATCTGCGCGGCCCCTATGCGGGCCAGGGTCGGAAAGCGCTGCAAGCGTAACACTTTCTCGACAGCAGAGGGGTGCGCAGGGGGGGGGTCCGCAACGGTGCGTGACAGGGCCGGACAACGTGGCATGCATGGCGGCCAGAACTGTATTGCGGGATGATGGTTGATAAAAATTGGGGAACGGTTGAAAACATAGTTTTCTGCTATTTCTGCAATTTTCCGACTGGAAGAGAACGATTAAATAATGTTGTGTTCATGCGCCCACTGGGTTCACCCAGCTTTGCTTAAATAAGCTTTGCTTTGCTTTGCTTAGCTTAGCTTATCTCATCTGAGCTTAGCTTAGCTTAACTTCGCCTAGCTTTGCCTAGCCTAGCTTAGGTTCAAGTAGTTTAGCTTATCTTAGCTTATTAGCTTAGCTTAGCTTGGCTTAGCTTAGCGTAGCTTCGCCTAGCCTAGCCTAGCTTAGCTTTAGCTTAGCTTCGCTTAGCTTAGCATAGCTTAACTTACCTGAGCTTAGCTTAGCGCAGCATGGTGCAGCATTAGCACAGCACAGCATGGCATAGCAAAGCCAAGCATAGCATAGTATAGCATAGATCAGCATAGCATAGCATAGCATAGCATATCGCAGCATAGCATAACATATCATATCATAGCAAAATCAACAGCAATAGCAAAAGCAAAGGCAAATGCAAAAGCAAAGACAATAACAACATCAAAGACAATGCAACGCAAATGCAAACTTGTAGATGTAGATGTAGATGTAAGTGTAAGTGTAGGTGTAGATGTGGATGTAGGTGTAGAAGTAGATGTAGATGTGGATGTAGATGTAGATGTAGATGTAGATGTAGATGTAGGTGTAGGTATAGATGTACGTGTAGATGTGAGTCTCGCTGTTGATGTTGATGTAGATGTAGATGCAGGTGTAGATGTAAATGTAGCTGTCGGTGTAGATGTAGATGTTGCTTTCCTAAATGCTCCAACTCCTAGGTAGGGTCGCAATGGGATAATTTCAGAAAAAAATGAAATCAAAACCATATTAACACAACTGAGCCACAAACTGGCAGCCTCGGGCCACTGCGGCGCGCCCCTCACACGCTTCGCGGCCCCATAAAGAGCTCCACCGAAGGCCACAGTGGCAGGGTCCGCGTGGCGGCCTCGAGCCATTTTGGCGCACCCCGCACACGCTTCGCGGCCACATAGGGAGCTCCACCGAAAGCCACAGTGGCAGGGTCCGCACGTCGGTATTCACAGCTGCACATGGTTGGGTCTTGCGCATTATTATCTTCCGCTTGCTATCACAGCTTATGGCAACTACAGATCATCTCCGTCCGTCATCGAAACTGCATCCCGCTGCTCTTGACCCCGCTCCTTTCTCCTTGACCCCCTCCATCCTAACCCTCCGCTTCGGCTCCGTCTGGCCCGTCGGCCGCCCGGGCGCGCGCCCGAGGACGGCGGGGGGAAACGATTAAAAAAATAGTTTTCCAGCCCGCGGCCGATTTTTTCTAATCATCATCCCGGGCGCCGCCGCGTGAACACGACCCCCAGTCATTTATTAATCGTCATCCTCCATTAGACACCTTGGCCCAAACCGGCTCGAATGCTGCAGGTGCTGTCTTGCCGCCCGCGCCGCTCATGCCTCCTAATTGTCCCATTGACGCACTGCCACCTCCGTGTTTGAATCTCAAGAATTCCATGGCTGAAGCAGGTGTCGAGGTTAGCATTGTGAACTTGCGCAATTGCAGGGCGGCAAACACATAATAACAAAATTAAGAATGTGGGGCTCCTCGGTAGCGTAATTGGGGTTGGCGCTAGAGGAACCCGGCAATCTCAGCAAAAAACAATAAAAAAAATCAAACTGAACCTCAACCAAAAAAAAACCTCTCAACCCAAACAGAAATCCAGCTCCGATCGGGAGCTTTTTTCCGACAGCGCAGATCCTTCGATGTCGGTCGCTTCGCGGCCCCTGGCGGCGTTCTACCTGGAACGCCTGCGCCGGTGCCGCCGCCGCGTCGACGCGGCGCAGCCCTGCCGCACCACGCAGGTTCGGCGGTGGACAGACCTCTCCCTTCAGAAAACCTCCCTGTGGTGAAAACGGCCCAGGCCCGAAACCGGCGGACCCGGACCCGCAAAAACGACGTCCGCGACGCCCTCTCGCGAAGCGAAAACGGCCAACGGACTCGGACGCCCGAAATGGGTACGGAAAAATGGGTACAACGCCCAACAACAAATGCTGTCCCAAACCAACCAACAGCGGCCGCTGTTGGGCAGGCGGCCTTCTGTCTCACATGGACACAGGCCGCGGCGGCGCGGACAGCGAGCCCTGTTCAAGATGAACAGCAGCTGCTCTTGGGCATTGTACCCATTCTTTCCGTACCCATTCCGCTCGTGCAGACAGGAGGTCTATCATTCAGTCGGGCCTGTCCCCCTACAGGGGGCTTTTCGACGAAACATCAAACATACATTAGAAATCATCAAGACATGATCCAAAAAAGGTCTGGGGACTATTTGGGGGGTATTTTTTGACCCTTTGGGGGGCATTTTTGGGGTAGTTTTGCTATTTTGTCGAAAATCCCCTCTGTAGGGGGACACGCCCGACAGAAGTCTATCAACCTCCGAGCGGCGCGAGCCCCGGTCGCGAGCGGGCTCTCCGCGGCCTGCGCCCCGCGGGCGCGGCGGCCGACGGGCGGGGCCCGTCGGCCGCCGAGCCCGCGGGGCGGCAGCCCCCGGGGGGCCAGCGCGCTGCCGCGGCAGGCGCCGCAGAGGGCCCAGCGCGCCGGCAGCGCGCCGTGCCGCCTTCGGCGCCGGATGCCGACGCCGCGGGCACCGTTCGGCCCCGTCGGGCGCTGCCAGAAGTGCCCCCTGGCCCCAGGGTGCCCCCCCAGCTTCTCGCTCCACCTTCAGGCCCCCAGGGAGCCCTCTGGGCCTCGTTGGGGGTGCTCTGGAAGGCCCGCTGGGCCACCCCGAGGACTCCTGGGGGCACCTTGGGCCAGGGGCACTTCTGGCAACGCCCGACACCCTGAACGATCGGCCGTGGCCGAAGCGTCCAAGCCGTTGCGCATCGCAGGACTCGGGGCCACCCGCGGCGTTCCGAGCGGCACGCCGCGGGCGGGGTCGCCGCCGGTCGGCACGGCACGGAGCTGCCGTGGCCCCCCCCCTGCCCGGGTGGTGGTCTTGCTACCCAGACCAATGTCCGATGGTTCCAGTGGCCCGAGCGCGGCCCCCTTCCCTGACGAACTCGGCACACGCGGTCAGGAACCTCGGCAAAGCGTGCCGCCGGGCCGGCCCCAGCTACACGCGATGCCCTGCGAGCGGGTATAGTGTGTCGCTCCGCTCCGCGGGGCGGGAGGCTCGGAAAGGCTCGGGAGGTTGAAGCCTGGGGACTGGGGAGCGGATGGCGTGTCGCGCTGAAGCGTGGCGGGCCAGAACCGGCGGCGCGACACGTTGTGCAAACGTTCCCGACCAAAAACGTGAACTTTTCGAGGTGAGCGCAGGTTTCTGGGATCGGCGCTGGCGCGCAGAGCCAGGGGCGCCGCCAGGAGGTCCGGCGCCGACCGAAGAGAGCAGCACAGCCTTCCGAACGTTGACGCTTGTGCACTCTGTCATGCAGGCGTTGTTTTTTCATTCTGGGTTTCGACATGTGGCCGAGGGGTGGAGGATGGGGGGGGGGCGTCTGGACCTGGGCCGAGGCTCAGCCGATCTGTCTTGCCAGTCGCGCCAGCAGACTGGGGCGCAGGGGCGGGGAGGGTGAAGGCCCGGGGCCTGCGCCGACCGGCGGCACGACGAGTGAAAAACCGCGACGGAGCGGCCCTCGCCGTGGCCCTCCGCAGCATGCGCGCCGCCAGGATGGTCACCATCGTCCCTGGATCGGGGGGGCGCCGGTGGCGACGCCAGACCTGGGTCGCGGGCAACGGGAAAAACAGGGGCCCCTGCCTTAGGAGGCCACAAGCGGACCCTACCCCTCCCCCTCAGAAATCGTGGGGGGGCAGGGGTCGGATTCGTACGTGGCCCCCTATGCCTGACAGAGGGGGTCCCGGGCCCAACGCCTCCCACGGGAGCCCTGCGGCCTTCCCC